TCAATAAAAATATATTTTTAAAAAATAATAATTAATTAATTAATTAATTAATAAAAATATATATTGGGTCTTTATAGGTTATAAAGAGCATTCATAGACCCCCATACCATTGGTGCGCACAGTGGTTTCTATCTCCTGGTAAGATCCAGAGAGTAGCTTGTGATAATGGATATTCATGTTATTTTCTCCTTTCCACCTCTCTCCCCAAGGACCTCCCAAAAGATTCTTATTACCAACCCCTGAAAACTCCCAGAGGTTTCCAGCAAATACTAAGACCTCCTGCAGAGTGCATACTAACGAAAGTGGCTCAGTCAATGCTGCTGCTCTGGCCAATGACTATGTATTAAATCCCTGGAGGACTAGCCAAGGATAAAAGGCAAACTGCTGGCAACAGTTTGGGAATTTGTGGCTTCCAGAAAATGCCCCCAGATTCCACGTTTAAACAATGGTGTGGATCTGGTGTAGTCATGAAAGCTGCCTGCTTCATGGAGGAGTGACCACTGCTGGTCGCTCTGAGAGGCTGAGATGGCCACCAGGGATGAGCGAGCAGGCGGGAGAAAATGACTTGGACATCAGGTATTAGAGTCCTTTCTGGCAAGAACCGTGATCTGCTAAGGTGGGTGTCGCGGTTAACAATCAGTCCTGTTGGTGACTTTTTGTTAGACATTAAAAAGGTCCAGAGTGTCTCTGTGTCACACCCGCGACAACCCTTCTAACCTGGAAAGGCCACTACAGTGACGGAATTCCCAAGACCTGCTATGCTCATCTATCCATCTTGTCTTTGACTTGAGGAGGATTTTCAAAGGCAGACACCCTCTTGTTCAGCTTGTGTAAAACCATGCATGGCATGTAGATGGAACTGCTCAGTCCAGACTGCTTTCAAATGGAATTTCCCCCTACGTTTTACTTATTTACTAGAGGCCTGGTGCACGAAATTCGTGCACTTGGGGGGAGCGGCCCTAAGCTGTCATTCGGACATCCTTAGCACTGCTGCGGAGGCAGGAGAGGCTCCCGCCACTGCTGCTATGCTCACCAGCCATGAGCCCAGCTTCTGTGGGAGTGTACTGACCACCAGAGGGAAGCTCCTGCATTGAGCGTCTTCCCCCTGGTGGTCAGTGCGTGTCATAGCGACAAGTCATTTTGCCGTTCAGTCAATTTGCATATTAGCCTTTTATTATATAGGATTTTATTGTTAGAGTATTGCAGATGTCCCCCTCCCCCCTCCCCCCGCTTTGCCCCTCCAATTAAAGCACTTCCTTCTGAAGTACAGAGATAACTCTGAGTGATATGCTTTCCCAAATTCCTCCACGTCTTACACGGGGGTGGGGAGAGGACCTTCATGAATGGACACGGGTGGGGAGAGGACCTTCATTGATAGACATGGGTGGGGAGAGAACCTTCATGAATGGACATGGGTGGGGAGAGGATCTTCATGAATGGACACAGGTGGGGAGAAGGCCTTCATTGATAGACACATGGGGTGGGGGAGGACCTTCACTGATAGACACAGGGGTGGGAGAGAACTTTCATGAATGGACACAGGTGGGGAGAGGATCTTCATGAATGGGCATGGGTGGGGAGAGGGCCTTCATTGATAGACACAGGGGTGGGGAGAGGACCTTCCTGAATGGACACGGGTGGGGAGAGGGCATTCATTGATAGACACAGGGGTGGGGAGAGGACCTTCCTGAATGGACACGGGTGGGGAGAGGGCATTCATTGTTGCCATGCATGGGAGAGGAGCAGGGGCAGGGCGCTGACATCACTGGGATCGGAGACCCAGGGCCGGTTGGACCCCTTCTGCAGGTCACAGAAGGCCGAGCCCCACGTGGTGTCGTGGCCACTGACTAGCTTTTCTCTTCTTGAAAAAGGGAGATCATGAGGCTTGGACTAAGAATAGACTTTAAAACATTATTCAAAGGAAAATAAGTGACCAAGGGCAAAGTGGAACGCCCAAGGCAGAGCCGTGAGGGTGTGTAAGGCGTGCATTGTTGCTGGTCTTTTCTGTGGGAGATGCATTTACACTCTGCCGTGAGCCCCACCCCATCCATTTTAATGTGTGCTCTCTGTGAAGGAGGCACTTCACCTCCACGTCTAAGATCAGGGACCACTGCCCGCATCGCAGAGGCTCCCTAAAGGTATGGCACAGAGAACCTGGCCGCCAGCTCTGTTCTCCCTGTCCTTCCAGGTGTCACCGACACACCACCACCCTGGGGGCGCAGGAGAGCAGCGGCAGCACAGCCACGCGGTCTTGTCCTCCCCACCCAGGGGGACGGTCGGCCTGAGGTAGGATGCCCACACGCCCCGCTGAAACGCAGAACAGCGAGAAACAGAAGCCGGAGACAGGGTCTTCCGTGAAATGTCCCCGTCATGGATGAGACGCCTTTCTCTTATTCCCATGGTTTCCCCATCCACTAACTATGAGTGCAAACTCCTTGGTTTGTTGTTGTTGTGACCGTTCACAGTAAGTTCTCCTACAGAACGGGCCGTGGGGATGACTGGGACACCCAGCGCCCTGTGCACGGACCCCTGTAGTAAAGGAACCACAGGGTAGACTTCCTTCCCAGAGCCAGGAGCCCCTTAACCAGAGTGCCAGACACTTGAGAAACAAGAGAGCACTTGAAAGTACCTCTTTCAAAACTCAAAAGAGTATGCTCTCTGCTGCTATTTCTCGTGTGTACGTGTTTGCCTCGGTGCTATGCACATGGCCAATGTCATGTCCGCAAGTGGGCAAATAGGACCTTAGGAATTAGGGCAGCCCAGAGTAACAGCCCCGACCGTGGCCCCGAAGCCACCCAGCACCCGGGAAGGCCTGGCCCGCAGAGAACCCTGCTGTTTCCCGACTTTTCTCCATCTTTCGAGGGGTGTCCAGCCCCTCCAGCAATGCCCATTGAGTTCCTCCCGCTGACTACGCACCCTCCCTTCCGCAGGAAGCCTCGGGGAGAGGGCAAGAAGTGCCGGAAGGTGTACGGCATGGAGAACCGGGACCTGTGGTGCACCGCCTGCCGCTGGAAGAAGGCCTGCCAGCGCTTCCTGGACTGAGGGGCTCGGCCACTGGGCTCAGCCACCAGGTCGCAGCCCCCGGGTCATGGCCACCAGGTCGCGGCCACCCGGACTGTGGTGCACAGCCTGCCACTGGAAGGCCTGCCAGCACTTCCTGGACTGAGGGGTGCAGCTATGGCCACTGGGCCTCCCGCCCTCACCGCCATGGCAGCTTTGGGAAAGCGCTCTTCCTTCAAACAAAACACACCTGAAGCCCAGAAAAGCGCGTCCAGGAGGCCTGGTGGAATTTCAGAAGAAAAAAGGCCACATGGCCCGGTCTGCTCAGAGCCGCTTCCCGTGCGCGAAAGGGAGTCCCCTTCCTCTGCTGGGTGTCAAGTCTGGAAGCTGTGGTCTCCGCAGCACTGGGTCCCATGGAGCCATGTTCCCCTGAAGGAGGCGTATTTTGATGAGCTTCCTGAAAAATGCCGTTTCGGGGTGGGGGACACCCAGGGGAAGCTGCGGATGACTGTGGCATTTGTGTCAGGACAAGACTTGCTTTCCTGGGTCTTCCCCGTTCCCATGGACTTCTTGGGCAGCTCTGGCATCTTTTCTGTGTCTTTCCTGTTTGTTTTGTTTTGAAGAATGGCCCCGCTTGGAGGAGTGTGGGCCTGCAGGCCCGATGGCGAGTGGGATCACCAGCCAACCGCAGCTCCCAGCGGCTCCGACGCAGCTGTCACCGAGGGAACACCTTGAAGTCTTCCCGGGACCTGGAGAGCCCTTTCCCGGCTCCTCTGCGGCTCAGCTCAGCCCGACCAGGCGGGGAGGCCGGGAGCCTGGCGCTCCT